TACCCCTTCCCATCCCCAATTCGCCCTCCCTCTCCCCCTTCCCCCACTTCGCCCTCCCTCTCCCCTTTCCCCCCAACTTCGCCCTCCCTCTCCCCCTTCCCCTTCCCACTTCGGTCTCAGCAATTGACATAATATCATGTCAAGACTACAGTAGATTAAATTTCATATGGCAGTGCATAACAACACATTCTGTCCATTAGCTTGGAGAGAGCATATACTTCTCCAATAGTATAGCTTTATTTGTTTAATGTCACTATTAGATATGGGCATGTAAAGTGAAGGAAAACATTAATTTTTTTCAAGCATTTGGTTAAAAGCTCCTGCTACAAGTGATAACGTGCCTAATATTTTTGTTTGAAATATAGAATGAGTTGGGCACAGATGAGGAAACTGCCAGTGTATGCAAACACCTGTATGTTACTGGCCAATAGCCATTTCTTAATACTACTGTGATTACAGATAGGTAAATAGATAGATATGTAGATATTTATTGCTTTTTTGACAATTTTATTTTCTGGAATACAGGTAATGTTTTTTCACAGCTCTGATGTAACCCATGTTATTGCTGAATGTATCCAGGATCAGCAGTGTGCCAGCGTACCTTAAATACATGATGGCAGTGGCGTCTGGCAAGTGGTTCTCTCACACAGATGTAAGTTCAATAGTAGTAGTTGCTGTAGTTTCTTGTTTAGTAGTAGAAGTAATAATAGTAATATTAGTTGTAGCAGTAGCAGTAGTGCATGTGGCTCCATAACACCAGCAGCAGCTCATAAGTAAAATGAAAAGAAAAACTAGGCTGTATTCAGAAAGAATCCAAAAAGATGTCTTAGAACTTTCACGCCATTATTTTGACAATATTTGAGAGAATGAGCCCTCACACCAAATCTTTCTTTGCAAGGCTAGATGAAGTAATTTCAGAGGAAAACAACAATGAAGGGTGATGTGTTGTCTGTCATTCTTCTTTCTCCGTTTTGCTGAGTTATGCCTGAGAGGCGGTCAGTCATCAGATTTCAAGACTTTTTTTTCTATCTTACATAAGACCATGGCTTAATGAGTGAATGTCATTATAATATAATGTAATATGCATGCCTTAGGTTTAGTAATAAATAGAGGCATAGGTTATAGGTCAACGGTTAATGGTTATAGAGGACTTGGAGGTCAATTGTTATGATAATAGAAAAAATCCTTGTAGCAGTAGCAGTAGTTGTACAAGTGTAGTAGTACTAGTGCAGTAGTACTAATGTAGTAGTAGTAGTAGTAGTAGTAGTAGTAGTAGTAGTAGATGTAGTAGTAGTAGTAAATGTAGTAGTAGAGGATGTAGTAGTAGTGGTAGGAGATGTAGTAGTAGTAGTAAATGTAGTAGTAAAGGATGTAGTAGTAGTAGTATTGAGATTATGGTAGTAGAAGATGTAGTAGTAGTAGTAGATGATGTAGTAGTAGTAGATGATGTAGTAGTAGTAGTAGATGATGATGTAGTAGTAGTAGTAGTAGTAGTAGTAGATGATGATGATGTAGTAGTAGTAGTAGTAGTAGTAGTAGTAGTAGTAGTAGTAGTAGTAGTAGTAGTAGTAGTAGTAGTAGTAGTTAGTAGTTAGTAGTAGTTGTAGTAGTAGATGATGTAGTAGTGGTAGTACTATTAGATGATGTAGTAGTATTAGTATTAGATGATATAGTAGTAGTAGTAGTAGTAGTAGTAGTAGTAGTAGTAGTAGTAGTAGTAGTAGTAGTAGTAGTAGTAGTAAGTAGTAGTAGTATAGATGAGTAGTAGTAGTAGATGTAGTTGTAGTAGTAGATGTAGTAGTTGTAGGAGTAGATGTAGTAATGGTAGTAGTAGATATAGTAGTAGTAGTAGTAGATGTAGTAGTAGTATTAGATGATGTAGTAGTAGCAGTAGTAGATGTTGTAGTAGTTGTAGTAGTAGTAGATGTAGTAGTAGTAGTAGATTTAGTAGTAATAGTAGCAGTTGTAGATATAGTAGTAGTAGTAGTTGTAGATGTAGGTAGTAGTAGTAGTAGTTGTAGATGTAGTAGTAGTAGTAGTAGTAGTAGTAGTAGTAGTAGTAGTAGTAGTAGTAGTAGTAGTAGTAGTAGTAGTAGTAGTAGTAGTAGATGTAGTAGTAGTAGTAGAAGATGTAGTAGTAGTTAGAAGTAGTAGAAGTTGTGAAAGTAGTGGAAGTAGTAGAAGTAGTAGTAGAAAATACATGCAGTCGAATATGATTTATTTTTTTCAGGATCATTTATATCGTACCTATCATTTTATAATCATTGTTAGTGACATGCTTAAATTTTTTTGTTTTATATTACATTCCTTAACAAATCTTCCAGGGATGGAAGATTGCATTACACAAGATTTGGTATTAAATCCAGAACGGTATGAAGTGTCTGGATCAAACCACAATGCTAGCAGCAATGCTCCTAAGCAAGCAAGAACTAATGCAGCCAAAATGGTAAGTGTTGAATCATGTTTCACTGATATGGTTTATGGTAATATTTTGTTATGA